TTGTTAGCCATCTGAATGTCGTCTTCGGTGAAGCGCCTGTTCATATCCAGAGACAGTGCGATTGGCACAGGACTGAGCAGAGTTTAGGGCTGTTGTACATAGGGTCGCTATGAGTCGCAGGCGACTCGACGGCACATAACAACAACAACAAACCAAACCTTGTTTTAAAATTTCTTGTTCTGTTTTAATGACTGCCTCTGGGTCTATGTATGGTTCTACACAGTTAAATATTCTGGAATTTCCATTCTTTATAAAATTATCTATAATGTGTTACAATCTGCATAGTCAGTAAAACAAAGGTAAACATCTTTCTGGTATTCTCCTGTCTCAGTCAGGACTCCTCTGACATGAGCGTCAATGTCTCTTTCCCCCATGTCCTCTTTTGAATCTGATTTGGACTTCTGGCAGTTCTGTATGTACTGCTGCATGATATTTAAATTATCCTCAGTAATGTTTTACTTGTGTGATATTAATGGATTCAGTAAGGTTAGCATTCTGTTAAAATCATCTTTCTTTGGCACGGGCACATATACGCATCACTTCCGTTCAGTTGTTGTCCTGATGCCTGACTCACAAATTTCTTGGCATCGATGAGTGAGAATTTTAGGGTTGTATTCATTTATTGAAACATCTCAACTGGTATTCTGCCAACTCTTGGAGACTTGTTTTCATCACTGCTTTCGGTACCACTTGAACTTCTTCCTTCAGTACCCTGGTTCTTAATTATATGCTACATTGTCCAAATGTCAAACAAGTCTTTTTTGGTACAGTGACTCTAAGTATTCCTTTAAACTTCTTTTAATGTTTCTCATACTGTTCAACATTTTTCCCACAGAATCCTTCACTCTTGCAATTAAAAGCTTGAAGTTTTCTCCTCAGTTCTTTGACCTTGAGAAATATTGAATGTTTTTCTCTTTTAATTTTCTAACTCCAAGTCTTTGCACACGTAATTTTAATAATTATAATTAATGCTAACATATGTGACCTGAAGTGCTTGCTGCAGAAGGTCAAGGACTGTAGCCTTCAATATGGATTGAAGCTCAATATCAAGAAAACAAAGATTCTCACCTTGGGCTGATTGATGAGCATTATGATAGATGGTGAAGAGACTGAGATTGTTAACAACTTTAGTTTGCCTGGCTCCACAATCAACACTATTGGCACCAGTAGCCAGGAAATTAAAAGACAAATTGCATTGGGAAAATCTGCTGTCAGAGACTTCTCCAAAATACTGAAGAGCAGTGGTGTCAGTCTGGAGACTAAGGTGTGCCTGATCCAGGCCATGGTCTTTGCAATCACTTGCTATGTGTCAGAAAGCTAGACAATGACTAGGGATGATAGAAGGAGAATTGATGCCTTTAAGCTGTCGTGCTGGAGGAAAGTATTGAATATACCACGAACTGCTAGGAGAACAAACAGATTCGTCCAGGAGAGGGTGAGACTACGCTGCTTCTTGGGGGCAAGGATTCTGAAACTTCCTCTGACATACTTTGGACATGTTGCAAGGTGGGAGCAGTCCTTGCAGAAGGATGTCATGTTTGGGAGAGTGGAAGGACAGTGCAAGGGAGGAAGACCTTTGACGAGATGGATTGATTCAGTGACTGGGGTAATGAGAGCAGGTGTGCCGGAGACAATAAGATTGCACAGGATAGAGCAGGTTTTAGGGCTGTTGTACAAAGGGTCATTATGATTCACAGGTGACAGCACATAACAACAACAACAATATATAATTAATTCTTGTTAGGAGGTGCCATTGAATCAACAATGACTCACAGCAACCCTATGTACAACAGATTGGAATCTTATCCTTACAAAATGCTGTGCTCAAACCTGTTGCCAATCTGTGCCAATCCATCTCATTAAAGGTCTTCCTCTCTTCCACAGATCCTCTATTTCTCCAAGTATGGTGCATTTCCCCCAAGGACTAGTGCCTCCTGACAACCATTATTTCTGCTCTCAAACCTCTGCTACCAATACTGTCCTTAGATATTGAGACCCTGGAATCATGACCAAGGAACCAGGCAAACAATGGTTTCTGTCCTCCAACCTCCCGTTTCAGGCCTTGTCTGAGGGAGCAGGGAGGCAGCCCCATGTCCAGCACCCACACTCACCAGTGATGAGGTTGTCCACGAGGGTGGTGGGCATGCAGAAGATACCCACCAGCAGGTCACTGACAGCCAGGTTGAGGATGAACATGTTGGTGACGGTGCGCATGTGCCGGTTCTTGAGGACGATGCAACAGACCAAGGCATTGCCCACCATGCAGAGCAGGAAGATGAGCACATAGGCCATGATGAACATGGCAGCCACCAGTGAGGAGTGCTGGTAGTAGGAGGAGAAGGTGAGATTGGCACCTGCAGTGGCCTCCGTATGGCTTCCATTCAGGTTTCCAGGCCAGCTGCCGTTGGGAGTCTGGAAAGATTGCCCTAGGATCAGAGGAGAAATGGATTAGGACTGACATCCCATCATCGGTAAGACATCCCAAACCCTAACAAGGCCCTACTACCCTAGTTAAATATTCAATACCAATTGCAACTGAATACACTGATCCACAGTGAATACACTGTGACTTTTTTTTTTAATTTTTTACTATTTTTTGTGTGTGTACAGTCAAATTGGATCTGACTGGTACAGGAGGAGATTGCCCCTCCTTCTCCAGTACAGCATCTGGTGGATCTAAACCACGTACCTCTGGGATTGCAGTTCAACTTCTTGCCACTCGGCCACCAGAGCTCCCTCGACACTGTGACTTTTAACACCTTATACTTTTAACCCCTTCATATCTGTTCTCCAAAATGATTTCTTCTCAATTTGCAATTCTGTCCCTTCCTGACCTCATCCAGTATCCTCAGCATTACTCTGTGCTTCGGGGGCTGCTCTCAATGGACCTGTGTTGTCTAAGTCCCCTTGCCCTCTGAGGTCCGGCTGGATTCAACCAGCAGAAGGCATTGAAGGAGAGCAAAGGGCAGGAGATGCGAGAGCTCATGGCACTTATTTCCTGACTCACTTCATGGCTTGCCTTGAATTTGTCGTTGCCTGTTTTCCTTTAAAGCCTCACTTTTGCTGTATGCCTGTCGCCTTCCGTAGCTTCTGCCACCATATTTCCCTAATTATTCCCTCTCCCTGCCCCAGCATGCCACTGGTGGTGAAGCACCCTGCGGCTGCCAGGCTCTGAGTGTTTCATGGCTCCTTGCAGTTTCTCCTAGCCCTCCCTTCACCTCTACAAAGTCACTTCATTCAACTCCAGTTAAACCCTTTCGGAGTAGGCCACCTATTTTCTTCTAGAGTCCTGATTACTCAAAATCTCTGACACCTCTCTTCCTCATCTCCTCCAGAGAATTTTAGCTGGGAAAGGCAGTAAGATAGTAGAGAAGAAAATGAAATGAGAATCTGATCCAGTAATAAATATATGACTATTAAAAGTGAACTCTGCTTTATAGTGACCAGATAGAATACAGTCAAACTGCCCCCTCAGGGTCACCGGATGTGAATCTTTACAGAAGCAGACAGCCAGGTCTCCTCCTCCCCCTCCTCCACTTTTTTTATTGAGTGGCTGAAGAGGTTGTAATTGTAATTACAGTGGAAGGTGACATTAGAAAGGCAAAGAGGCAGGAACAGAGAGGGGGGTAACAAGGGGTGGGCGTGGTGTGGGGCTAGGAGGCCCCAGGGCCTTGTGGCCTCAGCCCTGCATCCCAGGCTGCTGGCCTGCCCCAATGTTCCACATTTGCAGGCCCCCAGCTCTGAAGATGTGACAGTTCCTCGAGAGCAAAGAGGAGAGCTGGGACAAGGCAAAGCTGAGTGCATGGAGCAATACTGGGGTACTATGTAGTCAGGGCGGGCCCCTCAGTATGCTGAACTGTTGTGGATGCCAGAAGCACAGAACCAAGCTCAGAATCGTCTCCAAGGTCATGATCATGGCTGCTACAGTGGTGGTGATGCGGCTCAGGTACAGCTTTGTCTCTCTCTCTGCGGTGTGTTGCTGATGAAGTCGCTGCTGCTGGGACACAAGTTGTTCTTGATCAGCAACGTGGTCCAGCATGGTCAGCGCATTGGAGCCACTGCAGTTAGGAGTCTCACTGAAGGTCTTCACCACAGCCTAGGCATTGACGGCATCACCGTCCAGCGTGGCCTGCTGCAAGGCCTCTTTGCAGAGCTGCTTCACATCCTTGGTGATCTGGTCCTCACTGAAGAAGCCCCAGATGCCAGCAGCCACCTGGCAGCCACCAGGCAGGCCAACAGAATGAGCAGGCAGGTGAAGAAGCTTCCTGTAAGCTCTGTGACTCTTGGATAGCCCCGTAACAGCCCAGAAACCCCATAAACATCACCGCAGCGCCCGCGGCGATGAGGACGTAGACACCCACACTTAAGGTGCTGGGTGCAGGCTGGCCTCCAGGTAAAGGAGGCTGGAGATCAACAGGTTATGGCGGAACCATAGGGCCATGCTGATGGTCACACCGACCAAGTTCTTGATGCACTTGGTGCAGCTCTCCATCCTTGTGGTGGTACAGTGGGATGGGGCTGGCCAGAAGGCGCTGTGCCACGGAGAGTAGGGAACTTGGAGCCCTGGAAACCTGGCTGGGTGCACGTTCGCTCTTTGTCCCCATATCTCTTCCTGGAAGAGCAGACTCTTCTCAACACATCATTGCCATCTAGTTGGAATCAATTCATAGCAGGACCTCTACTGGATTTTTAAGACCATAAAATCCATGGGAGGAGCTGTTGGTGGATGCATACCAACAGAGAGCTGTGGCTTTGGGGTTGTTGTTGTTGTTGTTGCTGTTATATGCCGTCGAGTTGCTTGCTACTCATAGAGACCCTATTTACAAGAGCACTAAACCCTGCTCTATCCTGTGCCAACTTCGCCATCTTCGACACACTTATTCCCATCACCCCAATCCCAGAATTGATCCATCTCATCAAGTCTCTTCTGAGGGAAGCCGAATACCAAATTTAATAATAGTAGACCAAATGCTGTTTCGGGAAATGAGGGAAGCTTGATACAAACTGAAGGCCACCTTGTAGCAATGGGGCATTCCCTAGGAGTTAACATTGTTCTTAGTTTGTGTCAAATGAACCCCTCCCTCTTGAGATTAGCATAAAGAGGAACTTGGCCTTATCTGTAAAAGACTTCACCATTATCCTTTGTTTTGTACTTCCTTGTGATTTTACTTTTTTTAATCTTATGATTCTAAATAAATACTCAGAGAAGCATGGCTTGAGATCTTCAGTCGAGAACTGCTGACCCGTTTTACGCTCTCTGCTTTATCTCATTCCTGGCTGTTTATCTCTTTATTAATAATTATAAAATTATTCTATTCTTTGGGACCCACGGTCTGCAACACTCTTCCTCTCCTGCGCCGTCCCTCCACCCTTCCAAACATGATGTCCTTCTCCAAGGACTGGTCCCTCCTTGCAACATGACAGATGGAGCTTCCGAATCCTTGACTCCAAGGAGCAGCCTGGCTTCACCCTCTCTGTTTGTTCTCCTGGCAGTCCATGGTATATTCAACACTCTTCTCCAGCACCACAGCTCAAAGGCATCAATTCTCTTTCTATCATCCCTAGTCACTGTCCAACTCTCATGCATAGCATGAAACTGCGAAAACTGTAGCCTGGATCAGGTACACCTTAGTCTCCAGCTTGATGTTGTTGCTCTTCAGGACTCTGGAGAGGTCCCTAACAGCTGACTTTCCCAATTGAATTTGTCTCTTGATTTGCTGGCTTCTGGTGCCAAGAATGTTAACTGTGGAACCAAGCAAACTAAAACAGTTAACTATCTCAATCTCTTCACCATTCATACTGATGCTGCCAATTGGCCCAGTGATGAGAATCTTTGCTTTCTTGATGTTGAGCTTCAATCCATATTGAAGGCTGCAGTCCTTGATCTTCTGCAGCAAGTGCTTCAGGTCCTCCTCAATTTCAGCTAGCAGGGTTGTGTCATCTGCATAACGCAGATTGTGGATGGATCTTCCACCAATCATGATGATACATTCCTCCTCGTATAGCCCAGTGTCCCGGATGATCTGTTCTGAATACAGATTGAAAAGGTATGGAGACAGACTACATCCCTGAAGAACCCCCTTCCCAATTTTGAACCATGCAGTGTCTCTCCTTGCTCTGTTCTGATGACTGCTTTGGTCCAAGTACAGGTTTCAAATAAGCACAATCAAGTGTTCTGGGATTCCTATTTTTCTCAGAGTCAGCCATAGCTTGTTGTGATCCACACAGTCAAAAGCCTTAGCATAGTCAATGAAGCACAGATAGACAGACATCCTTCTGGTATTCTCTGCTTTCTGCCAAGATCCATCTAACATTAGCTATAAAATCTCTAGTACCATGCCCTCTTCTAAATCCAGCCTGCACATCTGGCAGTTCTCTGTTGACGTGTTGCTCCAGTTGTTTTTGGAATCTTGCTTGCATGTGATATTAATGATATTGTTCGATAATTTCCACACTCTGTTGGGTCACCTTTCTTTGGAATGGGAACAAATATTGATCTCTTCCAGTCATATGGCCAGCTGGCTGTCCTCTAGATTTCTTGGCACAACTTAGTGAACACATCCAGGGAAGTATCTGTTTGTTGAATTATGTCAGTTGGTATGCCGCCAACTCCTAGAGCCTTGTTTTTGCCAATTCTTTCACAGAGCAACTTGAACTTCATCCTTCATTACCATAGGCTCTTACTCATACGTTATTTCATGAAATTCTTGTGTCAGCCAATTCCTTTTGGTACAGTCACTCGGTGTACTCCTTCCATCTTCTTTTAATGCTTCTTGGATCATTTAACACTCTACTCAAAGCGTCCTTAAGTCTTGCCACTTGTGGCTTGAATTTGTTTTTCAACTCTTTCAGCTTAGGAAACGTTGAGCAAGTTTGGCCCTTTTAAGTTTCTGCTTCCAGCTCTTTGCACATTTCATTATAGTTTCTTGCTTTGCCATCCTAAGCTGCCCTTTGAAATTTTCTGTTCAGCTCTTTAATTTCTTATTTCTTCCTTTAGCTTTCGCTTCTCAGCACTCTACTGCAATATTCAGTCTCATCTGACATCCATCTTGGTCTTTCTTCCTCTCTAGCCTTTGTAACGATCTTTCGCAGTGCCAATTCCTGTGGATTAGGCCACGAGGACCCCCCTGAAGCTGTAGAAGTCATGGTTACATTTCCCACAAGAAAAGCCAAAGGCGAGGCTGCCATTTACCCTTCACTTCTTTACCTTGGTGATCAGCTGCTTCATCTACATCACACTTCACAAAACCTTTCCCCACTCATCCACCACCCATCTGTTAATTTGTCATAATGCGGTGGCGTGTGGGTTGCTAAGGTACTGGAAAATATTCTACTAGTATTTTCAAATACCAATAGTATTATCCACCAAGGGCAACTAACAGCCTGAGACAGATTAAGAAGAAAGGCCTGGCAATCCACTGCTGCAAAGTAAGCAGAAGAAATCTCATGAGTCACAACAGAATAGTATTTGAAACAGGGAGCTCTGGTGGCCTAGTGGTAAGAAGCTGCACTGCAACTCCAAAGGCAAGCAGTTCAAATTCATCAGCGGTCCCCTCCCATGTGATTAACTGCCTCTGAAAACCTGTTGAAGGATCAATTGTGGGTTGGTTCTGACTCAACAGTACACAACACCGTGCTGTAGGAAATCTTAGGCTGGAAGACAACTAAACATAGACAGTCGCTCTAATAATGGCCTCGAATATACCAGTGATCTGTAAGGCTGCCATGATGGCAACTAACAATTTAGTCTTACATACTTTGGCACGTTGTTAGGAATGCTGCTCCTTGGAGAGGGACATCATGCTTGGAAAGAGAGTCAGCAAAAGAGAGGAAGACCCTCAACGAGATGGACTGACACAGCAGTGACTGTACTAATGGGTTCAAGAGTATCAGAGATGACAAGGGTGGTGCAGGGTAGGAGAGAATTCAGCTCCATTGTTCACATGGTTGCTACAAATCATGACCGACTCCAGGGCACCTAACAACAACAATCGCTGCGTGAAGTACTAGCTCCATTTGAATTGGGAAGCTGGGTTCAGAAGGGTTGAGTGACTTATTCAAAGTCACAGTGTGAATGTGCAGCAGAGGTGACTCCGCTCC